GCAAGGCGCTGCGATGTTGGGGGGTTGTTTATCTCTTCTGCAGGACGACACTGCGCTGTTTTGATTTGACGTTGATCTGAAAAGTCAGCCGTACATATTCTAATAAATTCATGCTTCTTACCCATCAATATCTCCCCCACGGGTTACGTTATTACGCTCTCTTAGCTAGCTATGGGACCAACATACGCGGTCATCAACAGAGTGTTCTTAAGTGAGCAACTTATCTGAAAATAACTTTTTAATAACAAACCCCTCCCTTTCCCCCCGTAGTCTCCACTCAGCCAATCAAATACGCCGTCACCGCCGGGCTTATGACCCACACCGGTTGCGATAGCAACGCCGGCCTGCCTCCTAGAGAACATGTCATGCATGTTAAGTGGTTCTCAGATGCTCGTTGTCTCTCTGCCTCGCTCTCAAGTAGAGACACACACACACACACACACACACACCAGAGACAGTTAACACAACTGTAAGCTTGGGTGGCTGCAGGTGCACGCTGAATATCTTCTCATTAAATTAATTTCTTACAACTCGTAGAGCAAAGTGCTGACATGGAGCTTTTGTGTGTAAAGTCCAACTCTACTGCTTAACATCTGTGTGTGTGTGTGTGTGTGTGTGTGTGTGTGTGTGTGTGTGTGTCTGAGTGTGTAGATTTGGTTTACCTGGTGTATTAAACCTGCACACACACACACTCGCGTTTGCTCCAAACAGGGGAGTCGTCATTCCAGTTTATTTAGCTATTAGCTCTTAATGTTCCCCATAAACCGGGCGTGATTTCTGTCGGCGTGCTCTCTCTCTTTTTTTAAGTGGCCACGTTAAGTTTTATTACTATAACTGGGCTGTAATTAATTTGATATATTTAAGAACTATTCGGTTCAGCCCAGGTGAAGTTTCTGAACAGTTTTATTCAAGATTCAAGCTTCCCTGATTCTCTTTTAGACCCTTTGTGAGATGTATAAACAAACACAAACACTCTGTCCCACCATTTGGACCCACTGTCGGGGCACTTATTTATGCACTCCCATTGCCAGAATTAAACTCCTCCTGTATTTATGATTGCACGTTTATTAGTGTTACTTAGTGAACATTTATTTCAGTGCAGGACCAGCTGTTAGCCCTGTCTTGTACTGTACTATGTAATAGTTAACTTTCCTTACTTTCATCATTATTAAATGCGTTTGGGACATCCACGCTGTGCTGTGTATTGAGGAACTGTGGTCTGAGCCCGCTGTACAGTAGCTGCTCGAGTGGTTTCACTATGACAGGATGCATCGGTAGAAAGGGTTTCCTCACGATGTTTAATATCGCTTTGCTGGCTCACACAAACCGCAACAAGCGCTTCTCACGTGCACGCTTTATTTCCTCTTTTCTCCTTTGCAATTTTGAAACTTACTTCCAAAAAGAAAGTGCTGAAAACGTTCCACACTGTATACGGTGGATCAGAAAACACGTGAAGTAACTGACATTCTATTATCGTAAAGTGAACTACACATTTAGAGTAGAAATCTACTGTTTCCGGATACTCTGATATCTGCTTGATTTCTCAGTCGTCTGTGGCAGTAAAGATGTAAATCCTTTTGGTTTTATCTCTAATCTGTTCGACCACACAACTCCGCTTAACCGTGATCCTGCACACGTTTTGTCTGCGACAAAGTCATGAAAATTGGAATAAATCAATCAGTTTATTCCAAATGACTTCATGTACTAAACTGAGTCAACAGGAAATGGACTTTTTAATGTATAATGAATTATTATTCTTGGGCGGTGAGTAAGTAAACGTCTCTGAGAAAGGGCTAGAGAGTTGCTCAGTGAATACAGTCGGCAGCTTCTATCCTGTCCTCTAAAATTGAGGAACAGATCGAGAGACTCACTGCAAATTATTCATAGCCTCCTGTTGAGGCTGCTAGTGTGTGTGTGAGAGAGAGAGAGAGAGAGAGAGAGAGAGAGAGAGAGAGAGAGAGAG